AGTTTACCAGGTATGGCAATTAGAAGGGCCAATTGGGCTTAAACCGGTTTTGAGAGCATGCACAGTAAGGAAAAACTGCATTGTCTTGTAACCCAGGGAGAATCTCTATTTACCATCTTATGCCTATGCATAATTGGAGGAATGGACAGAATTAAAATTAGATGCATTAGGGGGAGGGATGTGCATAGCAAAGAAATGACTATATAACCCATCCATCAATCAAAATAAAGACCTACCCTAACTGTATTCATAGTAAACCAGGTCCCTTTTCCCCAGGCTGCATTCTGGGGCCCTGGGTACCTTTACTCTTATTCTGTCAAGTATTATCTTATTGCTTTGTGCTAAATAAAACTATTATGTTTCTTTTGCAAATGTATGTGCATGCCCTTATTTTCAACTCTTTGGATAAGAGGCCAAGGATCTGAAAACACCCAACTCGAACTCTGATTCCTCTAACAACAGGACACCACAAGGTGAAAATGTCACACCATGGGTTACAGTCAATGCAGAGGCACTCGAAGGTGCTCCGTGCTTAAGAATAGCTAATGCTCTTGCGAAGGACCGAGGTGCAGTTCCTAGCACACATACAGAGGATCACAACCCTCTGTAACTCCAGTTCCAGGAGACTGAAGAGTATAAGAATAAAAAATATAAAAATGCAGATTCCAAAAATAAGTAGAAATAAAGTTGTAAGCCCAGGAGAATAAGAGCAGGCTGTCGGCAGCTTTCTCAGCAGCTTAAGGATTAACTTTTAATAGTGGGTTACTCCGCTTTACAACCCATAGCTCTATTTGTGAGGCTGCAGCTGCCCTCTGCACATTCAGGGTCGCTCTGCAGACTGAGGATCAGCTTTTAGATCCCCCTGGCCACTCATGACCAGCAATGATGTGAGCTGAGGTAACTTTTAAATGATGAGATGTACGTGACTTTTGACTTTTTGGTTTTATGTTTTTCCCATACCCTTCCCTGCCATGAGAAACTGGCAGTGTCAGGGGAGGTGCAGAGCCTTGGTAAACACCATCAGGGAATGCCAGGGAAAACAATGGGCTAAATACAAACACTAGTTTAACTGAAAAATTCTGTTAATGGAATTTGCAAAGAAGGGCAATTTGTATCTGAGTTTTACCTTGAGACTGTAAAAATTCTTTTATTATGGCCTAGTGCTTGCTATAAAAGGAGGAGTTGGGAAGCTGTCCTTTGTCACAGCCGTGCAAGAGTGAACTCTGGCTGTGGTCTCAGCTAGCTGGTAAGCTTTTTGTGCTCCATGGAGATTTAGTTTTTTAATTTTTTTCCTTGAAATAAAGTTTGCTTCTGGTTTACTAGACTTCGGTGGTCTGTCCCCATCTTTCCACGATCCCCGTGGACCAACTGGATCTAATGCCCTTTTCTAGACTCTGGGGCACTGCACTGCACATCTACACAAATATACATGCAGGCAAAACACCCACATAAAGTAAGTTAACAAAAAGGAAAAATTTTAAAAATATTGTATGAAAGTAGTCTTCAAGCTCTGGTTACCTGAACAAAGTCTACACAAGATAGAACTGACATACCCAACATCATGTATAGGAGAGTGGCTCATGAGATCTGTGATATTTCGAATGATAATGGCCTCCATGAGTTCACATGTTTGAATATTTGGTCCCCAGTTGGTGGGGCTGTGTCACTAGGCTTTGGGGTTTCATAAGATGACATTTCCAGTTAGCTCTCAGCTACTACTCCAGCACCATTCCTGCCTGCCTGCCTGCTGCCATGCTTTGTGCCATGATGGTCATGAACTCTAACCCTGTAAACCAATAAACTGCTCTATAAGTTGCCCGGTCACGTGTCTTATCACAGCAACAGGAAAGTAACTTAAGACAGGGCTCATTGCTCCTTGAAGTAGTAAATAAACGTCGAGTCTCTGGTAAACTGCCCATGCTCATGCAAGTGACCCTATTCAAACCCAATGAATCTCTCTCTTTTTTTCTCTCTCTCTCTGTCTCACTCACACACATCATGAAAGTAGGAGAGGGACTTGGGAGGAAGAGGTATAGTGGGAGAGGGGTGAGAGGATAATGGAGGGTAACAATAATTATTATTTGTGTATGAAATTGTCAAAGAATAAAAAAACTAAAAATATCTCCAAAATACATAATTATATACATACATATGTAACATAGATTAATTTTATGTTTAGACCCCATTCCTATCCTCAAATCTCATTATATTTATATAAATATCACAAAATTCTGGGGAAAAATCTGACACGCAGAATACTTTTAGAACCAAGTACTCCAGGAAAAGGGTATATATAACTGTAGCTCTGCAGCCAGATACAACAGACACCTACATCTGTGACAGGTCAATATGTTAACCTATTGGCTTTTACCCATCATTAATCTGGTCAGCTTTCCTCAGAAAAAGTAGGTCTAAGAACTCTAAAGCTCTGATAGGATCCAAGAAGGTGAGGGGAGAAATAGCTAAAGGGGGGAAAGGACCAAGCACACAAAGGGATGCTGTCAGTTACTCAAAGTCCTTTGAGTCCCTAATCAGGTTTAGGCCAAGTAGATCATATTATGCATGACACACAGTGGAGTGTGTGTGTGTGAGTGTGTGTGTTTATCAAAATGCTTCTTGAGCTGCACGGTAGCATTTATTTAGCTATTTAGAGACATGGGCTCATGTAGCTTAGGCTGGCTTACAACTGCTTTGTAGTTAAGGATCTTGAACACCTGGTGAGAACATCATCTTGTACCTCCCAAGTGCTAAGAGTCCAGGCTTTCAGTGGTCCACAGGTTAGGGGTAGCTGATAAGGTACTTATTTTGCAAAAATTTGTTACACTTGTTACCTGTTTAAGTAAAGCATTGTTACCTGTTTAAGTAAAAGAAACACTTAAACAAGGGAAATACAAATTTGGAGACTCATCATATTAGCTACATCTTTCAGAAACAGGTAAAGGATTTGGGGACGGAGCCCAGAAATTGAAGCTCAGTTGCAGAGTACTTACATGAGAGGTCCCAAGCCCAGTCCCACCACTGAGAAAACAATAATATGAAAACAATACACATATGAAATATAACTCTTGTTAATGGATGTTAAATAGAAAGCATGGTACATATGGATTTGTAAATATTCTGTGTTAATAATTGTCCAAATTATTTTGAGCTGATAAAATTAAGATGCATAGATGAATCAGTTTATGAAAAATCATGGATTAAATTTAATACTATTTAGCTAGTTTTATTCCAACTGCTTTTTACGACTTTAATTCCACATAAAAGATAAAGAAGCTAATGTTGCAAACAGAGTCAAACTTCTATTTACTACGACTTGGGAGAAAAGAAAGATGATTCATAAAATGTGTCTTATTTAATTATTAAATTTTAAATTACTTCACCAATTTACCTTTCTTTATTTCCTGTTAGTGCAATCACAGCAACAAATACCACGTATTTTGAAATTTTTGGATTATTTGTCTGCTTCTCTCCCTGTAGCTACTGGCTTTTAATTAATTAAATTTAATTTTTTGAGACAGTGTCTCTCTCTATAGCTCTGGCTGTCCTGGAGCTCATGATGTAGACCAGGATGGTCTTGAACTCACTGAGCTCTGCCTCTGCCAGTTTTGTAACTAAAGGGGTGAGCCACCCCCACCCGGCTATTGGCTTTTAAAATCTAGGTTCTGATTTTTCCACAAGACAAAATCCTGGGCATTAAAGCTAGTATCTTTTCTTTTTTTAAATCTTTTTCGAAATTCAGGAAGATCTAAGATGAAATAATTATGCAAAGATGAATGGACCTAACACTGACTTGAAAATCTACAAAAGGATGAAGTATTGTTGCTCCAGGTTTCAAAGGCTTGTGCCCACAGTTTCAACCTGCAAGGCTTATGAGTTGTGGCATAGAGGAATGCTTATTCTGAGTGATTATTATCGGGATAAGAGATGGCTGTTCATATATATACATATTATATATAAAACATATGTGTGTATATGCACACATACAAATATTTTTTAGATTAATCATTTTAGATTAACATATTCAAACGAGTAAAAAAATAGGCTGGATTAGACCAGAAGTGGCAAGAGAGGGGAAAAAATACTGCAATATACAAAACTAGGAAATGAAGAGTCCACGTGAGATCTCAAATTCCAGCTGACTGACTCTAAGAGAGGTGTTTTGAGTTGGGCACTTCAATGATCAAACCGCAAATACCAAAACGCGAAATATCGGTTTACAGTTGTGTTGGAGGGACCTTCTGATGATCCAGAAATGATTAGTTTATGCAAAACAGCTGTAACCCCAGAAACCAGATGTCGGACCTCTTCAGCATTTTGCTCTGGAACTGTGCAAACGGAATCTATAAATCTGGAAGTCCACTAGGAAACGAAAGCTGAAATTGGCTTTGCTTAACCCGCTCGAACAGGAAATCCATCACGCACCTTAGGCAAATAAAAGGTCTACCACACACCCGCAGCCCACGTGGTCACCTCACAGTTGGCCTTGGGTTTCCTGAATGGCCCTAACGTCTCTTCCCGACGTAAGACCTCTCTGGGGCAGGTGATAACATCTTTGGCTCAGTGGGTGGGGCCACGAACCAGAGAACCTTTCCAAGAAATACGCTAAAACCTAGGTATAAGACTCACCAAAAAGACCCAAAAGGCTGTATCGTGCTAAGTCCTTAAAGTGCCCGAGCTTCCTGGCTATATTGGTCTTCAATATAGGGGCTGAAGTTTTTTTCGAAGCCAGGCGTTACTACTGCTAGACAGCATTCTGCCAGGCGCGGCTCACTCACCCACTTTGCGCAACTCTAAAATCCCCCAAGCCGCAAAGTCCACCTTTCGGGGGAACACGGTTTGGCGGAAACTAACCCCAAAAAAGCTTCCCTTTAGCATCCCCAGATAAACTCCAGAAGAGGGCGTAGTCCAAGTTTCGAGACCGATAGGCGCTCGCCTAGAAGTTCCACCCGTCATATACGAACTTGACGCCCGGGATTCCTACTGCAAGCCCGGAGACTCACCGGTACGTGGTTGACACCCTGTCCTTTGGAAGCGATCAGGAGGATTTCCCTGAAGTCCATGTCTGGCCGAAGAGAAAAGCCCGGCTGGGCCGGGGACTCGGGACGCGGCGGACTCGAGTCTCGCCGCTGCGCCCAGCTCCGCTGACTGGCTTGCCTTGGTGGCCCCTCTCCCGCCGCCCCTCGACACGGACACTTCCGGCGCCTTCTAATGCCGTGTGCCGCCCCCGCGCTGCAGCTGACTACAGGACATATATGAGTGTGTATATATAAACACACACGCCCGGCGCCGCCGCAGCGCTAGCCAGGACTGCGCAACTTCCGCTTTCGGGGGCGAGACACGTAAAAAGGCGTACGTGGCTGTTGGCGTTGTCTCAAGTGGGCGGGACCGAAGCTTTTCTCAGCCAACCAGATGCAATATAGCAGCTAGGGGTGTGGCCAAGGGTGGCAGCGATCCTGAGCGTCTTCGCAGCCTGGGGGTCTCGGGGACAGCAGTTGGGGGAGAAGAGGAGGGGCCTCCTTCCAGGTGTGGGTTCTGTAGGTATCACGCGTGGGTATCCAGATTCCAAATGGCAGCGTTCCAACGGTTGACCCGACAGGTCTGGAGAAGATTTCGGTTGCGTTTATCGGCTCCCCGGGGCTGCGCGTGCGCACATGGCTTCGCCTGGTCCTCAGGTGCTAGTTGCTCAGAGAACAGAGGCGCCTGCTGCTTTTTGTCCAGGGAATGAGAAAAGCCGAGCCGGGTTTGACCCTGACGCACTACCGAACAAACGTGTACTGGGAGTCTAGCCTGGCTTTCATTTGAGTTATCCTGAGTTTGCAAGGTCGTTTTGTCTCAATAAAGTACATGTGAATAACTAGGTATACCGGGGTCTGGTGGTTTGGGAATGGACCATGGATCGTTTTGGTGGGATGTAAATATCCCAAAACTGGACCGTGGGGGCAGCTGCGCTAGTTACTATTGTACAGTTGAAAGCGGCGAGCGTATCCTATAGGCTGTGAACTGGTGTTTGGCCGCTGTATTGGAATGACTCCACTTCAGACTGGGTAAGAGACCAAGATGAAACCTTTGCTATGTTACAGAATTGAAATTCGTAGTTTTCCTTTTCCTCAGCCCACAGGTACTTACTCTTTCCCCAGTTCAACATAGTATTCCTTCTATAGATGCTTTTAAATATATATTTTATGTGTATGAGTGTTTTGCCTGCATGTATGGCTGTCTATGTAACATGTGCACGCAGTGCTTGGTGTGCGTGGAGGCTGGAAAAGGGTATGCTGTCCCCTGGAACTGGAATTACAGATGGTTGTGAGCTGCCGTGTGAGTCCCGTGTGAGTCCTGGGTATCCAGTTTGGGTCCTCTGGATGAGCAGCAAATGCTCTTAACTACTGAGCCATGATCTCTCCAGCTCTTTTTATAAAATCTTACAGCTCCCAGTATTTCCTTTCACAGTTTATAATTACATACTTAACACGTTCCTTTTTTTCCTAATTACTGGTTCTTAGACTAAATGTGAAGATCTGTGAAAACAGGAATAAACCATAAGCCATCACTGTTCCATCTCCAAAATACGTCTCTGCTCATGCACATTAGTGGGTGGATAAGAAGTTCCTAATTGTGTCACGATGGCTGGCATGCAATATGCTAAGTACCTCATGTGGGTTGTCTGATTAAATCTTAGGTGATTTAATCTTTTTTAAATTAAAAAAATCATGTGTGTGTGTGTACATTTGATGTGCCATAGTGCACATGTGGAGAGAGTGTGTGTACATTTGATGTGCCACAGTACACATGTGGAGAGAGAGTGTGTGTGTACATTTGATGTGCCACAGTGCACATGTGGAGAGTTTGTGTGTACATTTGATGTGCCACAGTGCACATGTGGAGAGAGTGTGTGTGTGTACATTTGAATATGTGCCACAGTGCATGTGTGGAGATCAGAGGACAAATTATGGGAGTTGACTCTTTGCTTCCACCATGTGGGTCCTAAGAGGCACCTTTATCTGCTGAACCTTCTCACCGACCCAATTGATTTAAACTTAACTAACTTAATCTACTTATTTGCTGCTGTAGATGAAAAACTGAGACAGAAAAAAGTTATTTTATAACTTGCCGGGCAGTGGTGGCACAAGCCTTTAATCCCAGCACTCTGGAGGCAGGGGTAGGCGGATCTCTGTGAGTTCAAGGCCAGCCTGGTCTACAAGAGCTAGTTTCCAGGACAGGCTCCAAAGCTACAGAGAAACCCTGTCTCGAAAAAGACAAGAGAGAGAGAGATGAAATAACTGCTCTATTGTTGTATAATTATTAAGTGAACAGCACATAAGAGATTAACCAAACTGGATTGCATCCTCCTGTTGTGGGGTATCCACCAGAGAAGGGCAGACACAAGTTTAAGCCAATAGAAGTCTCCATTAGCTACTAAGTGTCCAAGTGTCGTCCTTAGCTGAGCCTTTCTCAGGTGAGCTTTTTAGCACAAAAGCCATATCCTGAGTTGACATACTTAACAAGAACAGTTAGCTAGAATTGGAACTACAGAAGGCAAAAAGTAAGATTGGTGTATTTAGGGACTTTGTTTTCAATTTGGCAGATGATGCAGTCAATGTGCTAAGTTTTATGGCCTGAATGGTATTTCAGGTCATAAATCATGGAATTAGTTGTGCTAAGGTCTGGGACCTGTTATACTACTACCCCCACCCTCTTTTGAAATACAAGGTCTCACTTGTAGCTGAAACTCTGTGTAGACCAAGGTAACCTCAAATTTATGGAGATCTGTCTGCCTCTGCCTCTTGAGTTCTGGCATCAAAGGTGTGCGCCACTAAACCTGGAATACCTGTTCCATATATGAATTAACCCATGAAGATAAAATAGCTATCAGCAGCTAACAGTATAGTAGTCATGAACATATGCATGTGTGTGTGCGTGAGTGTGCGTTTGTCTGTATGGGACACAGTAGGTGATAAGTCAGTGCTGCTGGTGGTAAGGAGGAAGGGGAAGACAGAATCTCCATCTTTATCAGGGGAAGATAATGAATTCAGCAGATAATTCCAGAGAAAGCACTGCGTGCTTGGCCTGATGGACAGTACAAAGACCCAGCTCCTGCCCAACCAAGGCTTTATTCCAGTAGTAACTGAGTAAGGAAAGTTCGGAGTGGAGAGTTGCTAGAGTTTACATGGAAAAGGGCAGTGACCACATTTGTTATGCTTCTGAAATTAAGTGTAACTGGGTCTCCCATACTTCAGCCGGCAAGTTCAGAAGTAATAGAGTTGCAGTTGGAATATAAGCATGGAGCCAAGAACATCCTTCGAGGTTCTGAGAATTAGCGGGTCTATTTAGGATGGTATGAAATAAGGTCAGAAAAGTTGCACAGTTTGAGAAGGTATTGAGAGCCAGGGTAGGAGGGAAGGAGCTTAAGGCAGAGCCGTCAGAGCTATGCCGAGTGGTGCATGCCTTTAATCCCAGCACTCAGAAGGCAAAGGCAGGTGGATCTCTGTGAGTTTGAAGCCAGCCTGTCTGGTCTACAGAGCGAGTTCCTGAACAGCCAGAGCTACATAGTGAGACTCTGAGCAGGCAGGCAGGAAGAAATTAAAGTCCGAATAGCATAGTCTTCTCTATTCCCTTCAGATTGACACAATCCAAAAGCTTTTGCAAATAAGCAATGCTCATAAGGGTCAGGGAAATGCACTGTCATGGAAATATTTGAAGTCATCTTGGTAAAGTATAAAACCCAATGCTGCAGAGCGGCCACTGTGTGCCGAACACTCTTCTGAATAGCTTTTATATATAAAGCACTTGGTTTCTTACAGCATCTCTGCTAAGTGTAGTTATCACATGAGTGGTCTAAGTTCTTTCAAATATTGTCTGTGCCAACATTTGGCTTTAGGTTCTGTTGTATACTATTACTATTACTTTTTTTTTTTTTGATAAGGGATTTCTAGACAGTGTTGGCTGTCTTTGAACTTGCTCTGTAGACCAGGATTGCCTTGAACTCTCAAAGCACTGTCTCTGCCTCCCAAGTGCTGAAATTAAAGACGTGCGCCACCACATCTGGCCTTGTTATTTTAATTATGTGTAAGTCTGTGTGTCTGTGTGTGGGTATATGTAATCAGCACAGGAGGGCATCCGATCTCTAGGAACTGGAGTTACAGTCACTTGTGAGCTGTCTGATATAGGTTCTGGGAACTGAACTCTAGTACCACCTCTCCAGCCCCGCTCTCGCTACTTTTTATTTAAAATGTTAATGTACCTAGTTGGATGTAGAGATTCTTTTTCTAGCTCTACCACAGAATGCCCACGTATATGCAGAGCCACTCAAACAGTTTCTGCGGAGGAGTGGGTGGGTCATGGCTCTTGCCATCAGGTCCAACAACTTGAGTTTGATCCTCAGGACCCGCACGGTGGAAGGAGGTAACCGACTCCTGCAAGTTGTCCTCTCGCTGCCACACATGCCAGAGCATGAACACCTAAACTCACCCTCATCTCCCCCCCCACACCATAGGATGTAATCCAAACTTTAACAAAGGAAAAAGAACATTGAAAACACCCTGAATGGTGCCTGTTAGACATTGGAGCGGAAACGTTTGTGACCCTACAAAGAACAAAGTGGATAATGATCTTTTAGATACATTGTTAGAAAAGAGAAAGGATGTTACAGTACACTGTTCTAAAGGAAAGTGAGCATAAGGTGCTGGTGGTGGGTGTAGCTCAGGCTTAGAGCCTGTATCTGACACATGCAGGCTCCAGGCTCAATCCCCACCCAAAGAAAGGGTTTCACTGTGCAGCCTTGGCCATCCTGGAACTTGCTTTGTAGCCCAGGCTGGCCTTGAACTCACAGAGATCCACCTTCCTCTGCTTCCCGAGTATTGGGATTAAAGGTGTGTGCCACCACTACTAGGCTGAAAGTTAAGATTTTTTAAAAAGTAAATTTAAAGTATATTCACACAAACAGGCTTGTCTATATAAGGGTTCAGCTGAAAGGAAGGCCAAAGGCCAGCAGATGCTCTAGAAAATGGAGAGAATCAGTCCCAGGCAGGAAGGAAGTGGGTTTCTATTTGAAGGTTTTTCCTTGAGTAAATATTTTCGTTTCTATTTTTTTTTTTTGGTTTTCTCTTTTGAGAAAGAGGATGTGCTATCCTGCTGATTTATAGTGCTCTCCACTTATTAGTGGGCTCTTCTATGAGTTTCTTCTTCAGAGTCCTCAAGAACATTAACAGCATTAACAGTATTTGCACCGCTGAGTAATTTTCAGAAAGAAACGTGTCCTTTGGGCCTCCAAGTTGCTGTGGTGGGGGAGCTTTTATTATTGTGGTTTAGTGAGAGGCAGGGGCTTGCGCAGGCTGTGGCAGGGTTGGGCAGGGCAGGGTTGGTCCTGTGGGCTCAGCTGAATCAGCAACATTTCTCCATAGTTCAGTAACCTCAGCCAGCTTTTTAAAAGAGGCTTCAGCAAATGGTGAAGAAGAGAGAACTCATGTTAATGAGGTGTGAGGAGAAGCAGGTGTGTGTGTGTGTGTGTGTGTGTGTGTGTGTGTGTGTGTGTAAGCTATTTGGGGAGGAAAAAGATAAGCAATTAATGAGGGAACCTTGGGAGAAAGGCAAACAGATAGTGCCAGAGAAACCCCTGCAGTCTCTGGTATTTGGAAGCCTGCCTAGCTGAAACTGAAAGCTGGAGGTTAGCAAGGCAAACTCTGCAAGACCCTGTCTCAAAGTAAACGATTACTTGGCTGTGTGACACACACCTGCAGTTCTAAGGCTTGGAGTGGGAAGCAGGAGGGTCAGGAGTTCAAGGTCACAATCTTCCAGGCTGGCGCATCTTTGAGTGGAATCCAGAGGCTTCTCCTAAAAGATAATTTAAGAAGTCTCTTATGGGAGGGAGAGGAGCAGAGAAAAATGTAGAGCTCAATAAAAATCAATTAAAAAAAGAAATCTCTTATTAGCCAGGCAATGGAGGTGCATACCTTTAACCCCAGCACTAGGAAGGCAGAGGCAAGCAGATCTCTATGAATTCAAGGTCATCCTGCTCTACAGAGTGAGTTCCAGGACAGGCTTCAAAAATGTGCAGCTGAGCCTGGCGGTGGTGGCATAAACCTTTAAACCCAGCACTTGGGAGGCAGAGGTAGGCAGATCTCTGTGAGTTCGAGGCCAGCCTGGTCTACAAGAACTAGTTCCAGGACAGGCTCCGAAAGCTACAGAGATACCCTGTCTCAAACAAACAAACAAACAAACAAGCAAACAAATAAAAACATATGAAATGAGATCCATATGTTATGGAATGAATCTGTAATCCTAGCACTTTTTTCTTTCTTTCTTTTTTTTTTCTTTCGAAAGGGTCTATGTAGTCTTGGCTGTCCTGGTATTCTCTAATGTAGACCAGCCTGGACTGGAACTCACAGTGATCCAATCTTGCTGGGATTAAAGATATGCTATTATGCCTGGCTAATCCTAGCACTTTTGAGGCTGAGGCAGAAAGATTTAAAAAAAAAAATAGGGCAGCCTGGGCTACAGATGAGGCTCTCTCCCAATGCAACAATCATACAAAGAAAAAAATGGCATATGTCCACTGTTTGTACATGTGTTAAGGTCTGCATTCTGCCCATCCCCCCATCCATCTCTCTAGCCTGAATGTGTTTGGAGACAGACCCCTTAATGATAATAATCAAGGCTGAGTGAGGTCATTGTGGGCCCTGATCCACATGACTCATAAAAGAGGAAGTCAGCTAGAAACGTGAGTGCGCACAAAGAAGGTCAAGTGAGAGGCAGGTGTCTCTCCAGAGTTTGGAGCCAGTTTAGTCTACAAAGTGAGTTCCACACCCCTGGGCTATCTTAAAAAAAAAAAAAAGGAAGAATAACGATGAAGATATTTGAGGTGAACTGAGGGGCCTAAGGCCATCAACTGACACAATGGCTTCTCTCACCCAACTGAAAGGCAAGGATGCTGACGGGAATCAAAGGGCACGGAGAAGGGGCCTGGCAAGTAGCTCTGTGGACCCTTCATGTGAGGCTGTTGAAGCTTTTTGGCACCTGTGAAGCAGCAATCCCAGTGTAGGAAAATGCACAGATATAAAAACTGCCAACACACAAGGGTAAGTGTACAATATTTATTGCGGGCTTATGTGTTTTGGCACAACCCTGGAAGTAGCCTGGATGCTCTCAGAGGACAGGAACACACAAAGAACCCACTCCACCCGTGCCTTGGAACAGGGGAGTTTGATGGGAGAGAGTTATGGAGTAAAATGGGCTTCGAGTAATGAGGGATTGGCTAGTTAGAAGAGGAGAATTTCCTAAAATTCACCTTTGTGTACTTATGGGCGTGCCCCTTACGTATCATTCCAGCTTGGCTTTTGAAGCAGGGTCTCGTTGCCTGGATAAGGTAGGCTGTTTGCTTAGATAGCCCCATTGATTGTCCTGTCTTCTGGCCCAGTGCTTGAATTAAAGGCATTCTCCCACAGGCCCACCTATTTACCCGCGGTGAGCTGACACTCAGGAATTTGTGCGGGCAGAGCCAGCAGTTTAGGGCTGAACTATCGCCCCAGGTGAAGAAAAGATTTCTAAGGACTACAAAAGGGCATCAGTCCTCTGAAACAGCATCCGGGGAAGAACTCCGTCTCCAGAGCTAAGATTCAGATGGTGATGATGCGACTCTGGGTCGCTGCTGACTAACAGAGAAATCAGTGGAACTCGTGGGAAATCTGCCCGGTGGAATTTGACATCTGCCTGCTAGGGTGCTTGGGCCCACCTCATTGTGCTCCCTCCTACAGAGCTGCCTGAGGTGCAGGAGCAGTCTGCGGAGAGTGCTTCTGGCTCTGCTGACTTCCCCACAGGGCGGTCGCCAGGGCGCAAGAAGCCATGCTGAGAGTAGAGTTTGTCCAGGCCGGGCCCACGCAGGAACTAGGACACGGGTTCATTCCCGTTTCTCTGGCGCCCTCTAATGACAAAACTTCATTATTGCTAAGGAAAAATATTTAAAGAGCCCAGAACTCTTTTCTCATTGAGCAGTCAACCAGTAAATTTGGAACTGAGAAAATTGATAACTGAATCAATGAGATTATTCTTACAAGCAAACATCACAGAATTATTTGTAATGGCTAAAAATTAGGAATGACCTGGATGTTCTTAAAATGATGACTGATCAAGACCATATCTCAATCAGCACCTCACACCTGTAATCCCAGCACTCTGATCCCAGCAGGGGGATCTCTATGAGTTGAGGCTAGCAGGTTCCGGCTGTGAGCCATCATGTGGGTGCTGGAGATTGACCTTAGGGCTTCATAAGTGCTAAGCAGGCGTTCTACCAACTGAGCGACACCACCAATCTCAGGGCAGCTATTTTTTTTTGTGATAAGATTATAGATGATAATTTTTTTTTCTAATTTTGACTTTTAAATAATTAAAAATTATTATTTTGAAACAGGATCTCCTGTAAGTCCTGGCTGACCTGGAACTGACTGTGTAGAACACGCTGGCCTTGAACTCACTAAGCTCCACCTGCCTCTGCCTCCTGAGTGCTGGACCTAAGGATGTCCATCACCATGCCCAGCTATTTTCACTATTTTTAGTTCCAAGTAGGTGTGTGCATCTCTGTGTGGGTATGTGCACGTGCGTTCAAGTGTCCTTAGAAGCTAAAGGATGCTGGGTCCTCTGCAGCTTGAGTCAAGCAGTTACAAGCTGCACACTGTTCTGGAATCTTTCTGGAATGAGCACTCCACCAGTGAGAGTAAAAGGGAGGAGGCGCACGGGAGACGGAAACCAGGACAGCTCCTGAAAGGCTTCCCTCTGGCTCCAGTTTGCATCCTCGTTTTATAAGCAGAAGTGGCAATCGCAGGTTGGTAAGGGCAACGGTCCTTTGTCTCGGCTGTCCCTCCGGCTCATTCTGCTCCAGGTAGCAAGTGAAGTCCTGCTTGGCAGACAGGCAGTGCGAGGAGTGCTTTAAGTGAATCATTCTCATTCTTAATGCAGCTCCTCTCCAGGTTTTAAAGTCATTCCACCTCTTGTCTTTAGTCTAAAGCACAGTCAAGTTTATATCTACATATTGTTTCTGTATAACACTCTCCTTTCACCATCATGGCCTGGGGGTCCTTTCTCCAAATAAATCGTGTTCTTTTGGAAGATATCACATGTCATCTTCCTTTCCTGACCAACTACTGCTGTTCATATATATATGAACATATATATACATATATATGCATACTCAATATATTAAATATATATAAATAACACACACATATATCAGTTTCTGGTATGGACTCGTTATGAACTGTGTTGCTATGAATCTTCTAGAAGAGGTGGTTTGGGGCAGGGAGAGGTTCGATGAACAGAGCTTGGTGCCCAGATCCCACGTGAAAAGCTGAATGCAGTGAATATCTGTCATCCCCGTACTCTGGTGTGCAGGACAGGAGCTGAGGAAGACTGGCTGGAAGCTCAGGTGCCAGACTGGCTGGAGAAGCAGCCTAGAGAAGCCCACGCACACCATCACCTGGCCCCTGTGCCCAAACTCCTTCCAGGATGAAGGATTTTTCTCCTTGCTAGTGGTGGAACCCCGGGTTTGTGTAGGTGCTCCACCACGAGCAGCACCCCAGTCCTCTATCCGTGTTAAACAACTTCCCATGGGGCTGGGAAGATGGCCCAGTTGGTAAAGTGTTTGCTACACATGAGAACCTGAGTTTGAACCCTAGAACCCACCTGAAAAGTTAGGCACCTGCTGGGGAGGCTAAACCAGGCAGAAAGAACTTTGGGGCACACTGGTGCATCAGGCTAGACTAATCAGTGGTTTCCAGGGTGCCACTAAACAGCAGCACCAGCAACCAAACAACGTGCCTGTGCCCTTTCTCTTGTTCCTGGAGCAGTTCTCTGAGCCCCCAGATCTACTGCCACAGTTTCCAGACACCTGGCAGCTTCCTTGCTCACAGCCACAGTCCTCCGTGAAACCGTCACAGTCCGCTGACTCCCTTCCTCCGAGTTCTGAGCCCTGAGCCCACCTCTTGAAACTGAGGCTACAAAGGACAGTTATTAATTTAATGCGGGGGTGTTGGGGCTCCGCTTTTGCGGTTCTTAGTCTCCTTAATAAAATAATTTGAGTGAATCTGTGAGTTCGAGGCCAGCCAGCCTGGTGTACAAAGTGAGTTCCAGGACTGTCTCCAAAGCTATAGAGAAACCCTGTCTTGAAAAACTGAAAATAAATAAATAAAAATAAAGAAATAAAGTCATTTGAGAAGAGACGGTGGCTCAGTGGTTAAGAGCACTGGCTGCTCTTTCGGAGGACCTTGATTCAATTCCTAGTACTCACATGGTGGCTCACAACCATCAATAACTACAGTTCCACGGGATCTGACACTCTCTTCTGGCCTCTTGGGGCACCAGGCACACATGTGGTGTACAGATATACATGCAGGGAAAACACCCATACCAAAATATAAAAATGAATAAATTAATTGAAGCCAGGCAGGGGTGGCGCAGGCCTTTAATCCCAGCACTCAGAAGGCAGAGGCAGGTGGATATACAAAGCAAGTTCCAGAATGGCCAGGGTTACACAGAGAGACCTGTTTCGAAAAAAAAAAAAGTAAAAGATGATTTATTTATTATGTATACAGTGTTCTGCCTGCGTGTATGTCTGCAGTCCAGAAGAGGGCGCCAAATCTCATTACAGATGGTTGTGAGCCACCATGTGGTTGCTGGGAATTGAATTCAGGACGTCTAGAAGAGTAGCCAGTGCTCTTAACCGCTGAGCCATCTCTCCAGCCATGAAAGAAATGAAAAAAAAAAAAAGAGTAGACTGAAATCATAACTCAAGGACAGTTTTATTAGAGTTTAAAATTACCCCAAGGCAGGCAAACTGCAAACTTCAGCAGTCATCTAGAGGAGCGGATGGAGGGAAGGATGGAAACAGCCATGCCATTTAACCTGATATAGAGGTCAGACATACACATGGCAGACATACAGTCACAGGGTAGGCAGGGAGGCACTAGAGAAAGAATAGGGAAGCCCAAAATGTTGTGTATGTGTGTGTGTCGGGAAGCACAGCCCAAAGTATTGAGGAAAGCAGGGCTTAGGAAGGAGGAGAAAGAAAAGGAAAGGTTAGACTGCTCTAAGAATTCAGAAAACCAGGCTGACTTACGCCCTTCACACAGCTGTGGTCTGTGAGGCTCTGCACTAGGGCAGTGGGTCAGGACAGGGGTCACATGTCAGATATCCTGCGTATCAGATATTTATATCATGATTCACAACAGTAGCAAAATCACAGTTATGAAGTAGCAATGAAATCATCTTATGGTTGGGGTCACCACGACAGGAACTGTATTAAAGGGTCGCAGCATTAGGAAGGTTGAGGACCGGTGCAATTACTCCACCTATCTCTTTGTCATGGTGTAAGGTGAGCCCCCTCCCTAGGGGTAGTCCCTTAGTCAAAATTAACGAACCGGCCTAGTTCTGTTCTATTCTCCTGATCAGGAGCCTGTTTTACATTTTTGCCCAGCGGCAATCATTCCTTCCGGAGCCAGTGCTGAGTGACCACGGCCCAGCTGCAGATACTGCTTGCTCCGAGTAGCATGATTCATTATGGAAACGGCTTCTCAGAGTCTTTACCATTGTGGAATGTAAGAAAGTCACAACTTTCCAGACATGGTGGCACACATCTTTTATCCCAGCACTTGGGAGGCAGAGGCAGGTGGATTTCTGTGAGTTTGAGGCCAGCCTGGTCTATGTAGAAAGTCCCATAGGTCTCAGAAGCTATCTGGTGACATTCTTAGCTTTGGATTAGTGTAAGATCTGCTGAATTAGTATAAGTCTGCTAAATTGGTATATGATGAAAAGTTTTACTCATTTAAGTGGAGAAGATGTTATTCAGACACAGAAGTAGTCAATAAGTGGTTACTAAGGATAATTTTGGTTCCAGATTTGCAACATCCAAACTCTCCGGTCAGGGTGGTCTAATATATCAATTAACCAAAGTGTGGCTGTTTTTCTGGAAACTTCACTTCTCAGAGCCCTTGAAATAGAATGCTCAGATAAATTATAGGCTACCTAGTTAAATCTGGATTTCAGGTAAGTGAACTTTTTTTAAAAACTATAAGTGAACTCAAGTAAAAAGTTATTTGTTGTTCATTCAGAATTTAAATTTCTGAGTGTCCTGTATTTGGAATTGCTGGTATCAGCTACCCTACTTAGAAAACTAAGGGCAAGAGTCCATTTGGAAAAGAGAGCCTCAGAGAGGTCTTGTGGTAACTCCTCGCCTTACCACTGGGTGGCGGTAGAGCACTGAACAGCAGCACTGCTTGTAGGGGGGGGCGCCTTCATCTCTCATGCAGAATCTCAAATCATCTTGGGGTGGTGGGATAGCTCAGTGGGTAAGGATGCTTGTTGCCACCAGGTGGTAGCGGTGCAGGCCTTTAATCCCAGCACTTGGGAGGCAGAGGCAGGCAGATCTCTGTGAGTTCAAGGAGAAAAGATGCTTCCCGCCAAGCCTAATAGCCTACGTTTGATTCTTGGAAGGAGGGAATTGTCTCCCACAAGTTGTTTTCTGACAGTACACTTGAGCATGTGTGCGTGAACACACACACACACACACACACACACACACACACACACACACACACACGAAAGCCAGAACTACTTTAATTAGGGAAACTAGTGAAAGCCGAAGTTTTACCCAGTAGTTTTCCCCTTTATACTCAGAGGCGCATAGATGGCTACTCATTGTATTTGTACCAGACAAAAACAAAGCACACAGCCTAATTATCCACCCAAGGGCGACTGGTTGAATAAATGATGACGTGCTCTATGGTAGAATTATAATTATAGAGCCCTGCAGTGCTTGAAAGACTGATGCAGACTTGGCAAGGAATTCCAACAGCAGAACCGGGCGGCGCTGGCTCAGGGCTGGTAACAGGGAGTCAGGAGGCCATCGCTAATGAGCGCACAGACACTTCCAGAGCTAAACCTTTGACCTGGACTTGCCCTCCCACCCACATTCAAGCTGACCTATGGGCTGAGCAAAGCAGCATTTTCCAGACACATTCTTGGTATCTCAGTGATCTTCCCTGTAGCAGGCCCCGTACTACCCAGAAACTGAGACCTCACTTAACCCCTTCTTACAAGATGCTCTCACTTCCCCAGAACTGGTCTCAGTTCCTTGATGTCCAAAGTTATAAACACAGCTGCATCTCTGTAAGACCTTGGAGTGCATTGCACGTGTGCCCGGTGTCTTATAGGCCAGATGAGGACACTGGATCCCTGGAGCTGGAGTTATGGTTAGGAAGGTATTATGTGGGTGCTGGGAACTGAACCCAGGTCCTCTGCGAGGGACCAGCCCCCACAGAAACTTTTTTTATGGGGGGGGGGCTCT